CTTCGGCAACGTAATACATAAAGGAGTCACGGATGAAAGTCAACGGTCGGCGCCTTGGCAATGTAATACAACAGAAGTCACAAATTTAAGTCAAAGGTCTGCGCCTCGGCGACATAATATATACAGAAGTTACAGAAGAAAGTCAAAGGTCGGCGCCTCGGCGACATTATATATACAGAAGTCACAGAGGAAAGTCAAAGGTCAGTGATTCACGTAGCACCACAAAAGGTTGGCTGCATCTAAGAACAACTGTACATGGATCACACAGGAATGTCAACTGATTGTGGTGTGCAAAGCTATGGGGTTACAAAGGAATGTTTAATGCGTTTTCGGGGGTCACACAGAACTGTCAAAGGCTGGTGACACCCGGAGTACATGGTTGACGTAGGACTGTCAAAGGCTTGTGCCATCTAGAGATCATGGTTCACTTAGGACTGTCAAAGGCTGGTAGCATCTGAAGTACATGATTCACATAGGTCTGTCAAAGGAAGGTGACATCTGGAGTACATGGTTAACGTACGACTGTCAAAGGCTGGTGGCATCTAGAGATCTTGGTTCACATAGGACTGTCAAAGGAAGGTGACATCTGGAGTACAAAGTTCACGTAGGACTGTCAAAGGCTGAGCCGTCTGGAGTACACGGTTCACATAGGACTGTCAAAGGAAGGTGACATCTGGAGTACAAAGTTCACGTAGGACTCTCAAAGGCTGAGCCATCTGGAGTACACGGTTCACATAGGACTGTCAAAGGCTGGTGACATCTGGAATACATGGTTCGCTTTGGACTGTCAAAGGCTGAGTCATTTGGAGTACATGGTTCACGTAGGACTGTCAAAGGCTGAGCCATCTGGAGTAAATGGTTCACGTAGGACTGTCAAAGGCTGGTGACATCTGGAGTACATGATTCACATAGGACTGTCAAAGGCTGGTGGCATTTTGAGTACACGGTTCACGTAGGACTGTCAAAGGCTGAGCCATCTGGAGTAAATGGTTCACGTAGGACTGTCAAAGGCTGGTGACATTTTGAGTACACGGTTCACGTAGGACTGACAAAGGCTGGTGACATCTGGAGAACTTGATTCATATAGGACTGTCAAAGGAATGTGACATCTGGAGTACATGATTCACATAGGACTGTCAAAGGCTGAGCCATCTGGAGTAAATGGTTCACGTAGGACTGTCAAAATCTGGTGGCATTTTGAGTACACGGTTCACGAACGACTGCCAGCAATGCGAAGAAAAGGGTCACGCTGGACTTTCAAAGGTGTAGATCTACCGAGCAGAGTAATCAAATGTGTTCACCTAATCCGACCATTTAACAATGTATTACATCAGTCCTGATATTAATGCCCTTCCGGTTTAGGAGGTCTGCATATTGACAAATAGCTAGCACAAAGAGCAAATAGCGATAGAAAATAATTACACCATGTTATCACTTAAAAACAGTAATTTTAAAACTGTCAAACGTTCTCCCTCGGGAGTAGACAATACATTAATTCTTATTTATACTGTTCCGGCTTCCCTGATTATAAGTGAAGGTCGCTCCCTTTTTTACCTTTATGTTTTATTTAACATTAGTAGGGTGATGAACTACAGCTTCCGACACTTTAGAACTGCTCCCGACCCGGGGCATATGTTGATTTCCCAGGAGGCCGAATTATACAATATCAGTCTCAAGCTGAAAAATCAAAGTTAAATTTTAGTTTTGAGGTTAGTGTAAACGGGTTATATCTCCTTTCCGATCTTGCTCCCTCACTGGGTCTGTCCTTCACAATCGATACACGTCTACCATTGCCGAGCTGTCGCATGCGAGCGGCACAGGTCTGCTAATTACCTCGTTTAGGATATCTTTAATATCGCTTATTCTCTCATTCGCCTAAAGATAAACCATATTGTATCGGGTTATCAACAATTCCACAATTATAAAAATTACCATTTTTTGTAGACGTATCCAGTGAGCAATAATAGAAATAAAGGAGAGTAATTAAATTGATTGATTGTTCAACACTTCCTGCCTCAATAGGGTGGTGTACAATCGGAACTTCCGGTGTGCGTGGTGCTACATTAAGGAGTGTATTACGCAACATAAAGGTGTCGCAGAGTGGTCGTCATAGTTACAAAACCAGTCCGGTGAAAATGATTAATACGTGTGTGCTATCGGTGTAATGATGTATCTTAATCAATTAACTGAACACCGCTTACAAAGACGATGCATGCTCGCTTGAAATATGCTTTGTGAAACATTTCCAAAGTCTTGAAAATAATTGGCTTGAAAAATGGAACAAAAAAACCGGGAATGTACGAACTGACCCCCGTTCGTGGTAATACATTAAAATAAACGAAACAAATGGATTACTGTAAGGGCGTATTTCTATGTTAATTCGTGACTTAGCAATGGAACAGTCAGGGATTCTGTAAGCCTGATGTATATCTTACCCCGTTAGTTAGAATCGTTCCATTTGATGTTCAACACGGGGGGCAGTGCAGCAAGTATCACGAGCAAAGTGCAAAAAGCCTTGAAATTAAAATTAGGTATCATACAAATTATCAAAATACCGTTCATTTTGTTAAAAAAATCGATAATTCAGTTCACCTAAAGCAGCATGCGAATTCCTATGGGGATTTTACCTAATAGCTTAAGATACCATAATCACTTACTGATCCATGAAAAGTATATGGGGGGTCTGCTGTCTGCATACAGAAACTCGATCTATTTAATATAATTTTAATGTTCATCACTTTTTATTACATGTTAAGTTAGAAGATACGTTTTTGATACGAAACGTCCCAGAACCTGTTAACGACTCTAAACACATGGAGACTTTCCTAACATCATCCATCGACTGTCAATTGGTATTATATGTATACAAGGCTACATGACTGATGGGGATTTTACGCCTGGTGTAGCCATATAGCTACTCTTCATGTGTCAGCACATTTCTCTGTTCTATTTAGTAGAAATGTTATGAGTTTTACTTTTCTATCGAAATCTTTACCAAAGCTGATGTGGCGGCCATTTTGAATATTAGCGGAAGTTGTTTTATCATATTTCAGTGTTGTGTCCAATGTTCACTTTGCGTATGGTTGTCAGGTATTGGTTACGTGTGTTTGAGCGCCAAGTTCTATGTTTAACAAAAGACAAATTGTTGAAGGTAATTTACCAATGCAATTTTCAAGTCTTCTAGACGTCATACTATCGCTCCTTCATGAAATCACAACAGAAATTTGATGTGTAATATTTTTATGGACGATTTTGTAAACAGAATTGACATCCCACCAATGACCCGTAAACAGTCATTTGATGATGGCGTAACAGACACATTCAAGCGCATTATTTTGATATCACAGTCAACCGCCATTGCTTATCAATCGTTAACAGATTGATACCACAATAATCACATACAAAATCTGTAAAATGATTTATAACATTTAACGCATAACCATACTATGTATATAACGATTTCATTATACCAAATGGACATCTCGGATATCACGTGTTTCCGCTTTAGTATAACAGGCATCCCAATAAATGCCTAGTTCCACTGTCATAAAAGGGAACATCTCGGTAAATCACTGTTTCCGCTGTCATACGAGGGAGCATTTCGGTAAATAACTGTTTCTACAATCATACGAGAGAACATCTCGGTAAATCACTGTTTCCATTGTCATACGAGGGAACATCTCAGTAAATGAGTCTCCAATCAGACACGAAAAGATATTTAGTCACTTTAAAAATATTGTATACCAAAGGACGTCTCGGGAGTATGTTTAAGAAGTTTACCATATAAGGGGACGTCTCGGGAGTATGTTTAAGTCGTTTACCATATAAGGGGACGTCTCGGGAGTATGTTTAAGACGTTTACCATATAAGGGGACGTCTCGGGAGTATGTTTAAGTCGTTTACCGTATAAGGGGACGTCTCGGGAGTATGTTTAAGTCGTTTACCATATAAGGGGACGTCTCGTTAGTATAGATATATTCATTTAATATAAGGGAGGAACTCGACAATTATAAGCGGACGTCTCAATATGTTATCATGAAATATAAGGGGACCTCTCGGGAGTATGTATACATCATTTACCAAATGAGGGGACGTCTCGAAAGGTTTTATGTGTGTTAGCCAATGTAAGGGTATTTCTCGAACGCGTTTTAAATCAGTATGTATTTGATACCACATGCAATACAAAAACACGTCTTAGGAATATTTATATCAATCCAGGAATATTGGGGGACGACTCGCGGAGAAATATGATTGACTTTCCTCAGCAAATATTTCCTCTATCCGCCCTCCTGCATAATGTATCAATGTAACAGCTCCGCATGTCATTATTTCTCCCCGGCTATCGATCGTGAAGACACTGTGATTTTAGAGACTCGAAATTAATTGGGTTTTTGTTTTTGTGATATTTACACCCTGTTTATTGTATAGGTTTGTGTTTGTTATTAATCGATACGTAAATATTGACTATACTTCTTATCTTACTGCGCCATCTTACTATCGCAGCGCTTGCCTGACACAGAATAAAAACAGAAACGATACCGGAGGATGTCGTCCGGAAACGGTGTTTCAAGTACTATGTTATTTGTTACCATTAAATGCAATGTTAACGGGTGCAATAACCCACACACATTTCACGGGAGACTGTCACAAGTTTGGTGACGTCTATACAATTATCCGGGGCTTGATCAGACATCTGTATAAAGTACTAAATCATGGAAGACCTAATCGCCAATGCCATTGTTTTATATTGTCACGATTCAGGATTTAATATGTAAAATTTTATAACTAATAAATATCAATTTTGTTTTTATATAGCCATTGCATGATTTTGGTATAACTGAAACCGTCGGCAAGGTTTATATTTGAAGTCTGTTTAGATTTTAAATAATTGAATCTTTCTGTCTGGCATTATTGAATCTTCTTATTTCTATTCCCAGTTGTCGAAGCAATGTTTGAAGGCCGAGTACGGAGGAAGGAAATCCAAAACCATTACTAAACCGATGTCATCACAAGACGCTTCGACTGTACAGACTTCATACCATGACTGTACCTACGTCACACCGCCATACCATGACAGTACCCACGTCACACCGCCATACCATGACCTTACCCACGTCACACCTTCATACCATGACCTTACCCACGTCACACCGCCATACCATGACAGTACCCACGTCACAACGTCATACCATGACTGTACCTACGTCACACCGTCATACAATGACTATACTCACGTCACACCTTCATACCATGACCTTACCCACGTCACACCGCCATACCATGACAGTACCCACGTCACCCCGCCATACCATGACAGTACCCACGTCACAACGCCATACCATGACCTTACCCACGTCACACCTTCATACCATGACCTTCCCCACGTCACACCGCCATACCATGACAGTACCCCCGTCACACCGCCATACCATGACAGTACCCACGTCACAACGTCATACCATGACTGTACCTACGTCACACTGTCATACCATGACTTAACTCACGTCATACCGTCATACCATGACTGTACCAACGTCACACCGTCATACAATGACTATACTCACGTCACAACGTCATACCATGACTGTACCTACGTCACACTGTCATACCATGACTTAACTCACGTCATACCGTCATACCATGACTGTACCAACGTCACGCCGTCATACCATGACTGTACCCACGTCACATCGTCAAACCATGACTGTACCCACGTCACAACGTCATACCATGACTGTTCTCACGTCACACCGTCATACCATGACTTAACTCACGTCATACCGTCATACCATGACTGTACCAACGTCACAACGTTATACCATGACCTTACCCACGTCACACCGCCATACCATGACTATACTCACGTCACAACGTCATACCATGACTGTACCTACGTCACACCGTCATACAATGACTATACTCACGTCACATCGTCAAAGCATGACTGTACCCACGTCACACAGCCATGCCATGACTGTTCCGACGTCACAGCATCATACCAGGACTGTTCTCACGTCACACCGCCATACCATGACCTTACCCACATCACACCGTCATACCATGACTATACTCACGTCACAACGTCATACCATGATTGTACTCACATCACACCGCCATTTCATGACCTTACCCACGTCACACCGCCATACCATGACTGTACTCACGTCATACCGTCATACCATGACTGTACTCACGTCACACCGCCATACCATGACAGTACCCACGTCACCCCGCCATACCATGACTGTACCCACGTCACACCGTCATCCCATGACTGTACCCACGTCACACCGTCATCCCATGACTGTACCCACGTCACAACGTCATCCCATGACTGTACCCGCGTCACACCGCCATACCATGACTGTATTCACGTCACATCGTCATACCAAGACTGTTCCGACGTTACACCGTCATACTATGACTGTACCCACGTCACACCGCCATACCATGGCTTTACCCACGTCACACCGTCATACCATGACTGTACCCGCGTCATACCGTCATACCATGACTGTACTCACGTCAGTCTGTCTTACCATGACTGTTCCGACGTCATACCGTCATATCATGACTGTGTACCCACGTCACACCGCCACACCATGACAGTACCCACGTCATACCGTCATCCCATGACTGTACTCACGTCACTCTGTCTTACCGTGACTGTTCCGACGTCATACCGTCATATCATGACTGTGTACCCCCGTCACACCGCCATACCATGACAGTACCCGCGTCACAACGTCATACCATGACTGTACCCTCGTCACACCGCTATACCATGACTGTACCCACGTCACACCGTCATCCCATGACTGTATCCACGTCATCATACCATGACTGTACCAACGTCACCCCGTCATACAATGACTATACTCACGTCACAACGTCATACCATGATTGTCCTCACATCACACCGCCATTTCATGACCTTACCCACGTCACACGGCCATACCATGACTGTACTCACGTCATAGCGTCAGACCATGACTGTACTCACGTCACTCTGTCTTACCGTGACTGTTCCGACGTCATACCGTCATATCATGACTGTGTACCCACGTCCCACCGCCATACCATGACAGTACCCACGTCACCCCGCCATACCATGACTGTACCCACGTCACGCCGTCATACCATCACGGTACTCACGTCACACCGCCATACCATGACTGTTTCGACGTCACACCGCCATACCAGGACTGTACCCACGTCACCCCGCCATACCATGACTGTACCCACGTCACGCCGTCATACCATCACGGAACTCACGTCACACCGCCATACCATGACTGTTTCGACGTCACCCCGCCATACCAGGACTGTACCCACCATACCATGACTATACTCACGTCACAACGTCATACCATGACTTTACAAACGTCACACCGTCATACCATAACTGTACCCACGTCACAACGTCATACCAGTCATACCATGACTGTACCCACGTCACACCGTCATTCCATGACTGTACCCACGTCACACCGTCATTCCATGACTGTACCCACGTCACACCGTCATACCATGACTGTACCCACGTCACAACGTGATACCATGACAGTACCCTCGTCACACCGCTATACCATGACTGTACTCACGTCACACCGCCATACCATGTCAGTACTCACGTCACACCGTCATACCATGACTGTACTCACGTCACTCTGTCTTACCATGACTGTTCCGACGTCATACCGTCATATCATGACTGTGTACCCACGTCACACCGCCATACCATGACAGTACCCACGTCATACCGTCATACCATGACTGTACTCACATCACACCGCCATATCATGACTGTACCCACGTCGCGCCGACATAACACGACTTCATCCACGTCAAACCGTCATACTATGAATGTACTCACGTCCTACCGTCATACCATGACTGTACCCACGTCACACCGTCATACCATGACTGTACCCACGTCACAACGTCATACCATGACTGTACCCGCGTCATACCGTCATACCATGACTGTATTCACGTCACATCGTCATACCATGACTGTTCCGACGTCACACCGTCATACCATGACTGTATCCACGTCACACCGCCATACCATGACTGTACCCACGTCACGCCGTCATACCATCACGGTACTCACGTCACACCGCCATACCATGACTGTTCCGACGTCACACCGCCATACCATGACTGTACCCACGTCACACCGCCATACCATGACTGTACCCACGTCACACCGCCATACCATGACTGTACCCACGTCACACCGCCATACCATGACTGTACCCACGTCACACCGCCATACCATGACTGTACCCACGTCACACCGCCATACCATGACTGTACCCACGTCACACCGCCATACCATGACTTTACCCACGTCACACCGTCATACCATGACAGTACCCACGTCACACCGTCATACCATGACTGTACCCACGTCACAACGTTATACCATGACAGTACCCACGTCACACCGCTATACCATGACAGTACCCACGTCACACCGCCATACCATGACTGTACCCACGTCACACCGTCATACCATGACTGTATCCACGTCACACCGCCATACCATGACTGTTCCGACGTCATACCGTCATACCATGACTGTACCTACGTCACACTGTCATACCATGACTGGTTATGGATTTCAGATAGAAAATTAAAGATGGTACCCGGTTTTAAACAACCAACAACCCAAAACCAATAACACTGGAATATTTCTGTTATAAATTTAGCGACTACTAGAGGTGATCCCAAATCATTGGAATGAAATTCTTAGAACAATTCTGCCACAGAGCGTGTCGGACTGTGTAAGCTTCCGTATTTGTCCGCCGGAGTGAGCACTGTGGGGTATCCAGGATTAGCTATTCTGGTTAACGTCGGGACCGTTAATGCCTATCTGTCCTCTCTTCCCCTTCCGGGCACACTTGGGCTGACAAAGTTCACACCCACACGGGGAGGTCAAACAGCGTGTTCCAGACTTACGTACGACCCAGCAAACACCGCCAGTCCTGGTCTAATGGTGCTCACTAAAATGTTACAAATTTACTAAATTTTAAACGCTCGACATTGACCTTTAGAAATGGCTGTTACACTCTGCCGGAAATGACCGGAAGCTAGGCTCCCGGCGAGATCGAGGCTAGTATGGAACACGACTGCAAGCTTTATGGTCGTTTAGAATTTAAGAGTGTTAAGTAATGCCATTCAGAGTAATTAACTTTGTTACCTAAAGAAGGTAATAAAACACATTTCCTTTGCTGAATAAAAGAATGTGTTTTACAAAAATCGAATTTCGTAAGTAACGACGTGTAGAGGTATTTTAAAGCTTTTTCCATTAAACACTGGACCGTTTCTACATTTTGGGAAAAAACACGAGATGGTTTTTATTGGCGAAGACAAATTCAATTATGTCTGACTCATCTTTGGATTCTGTTTTGTGTCTTCTTTTCAAGGGAATGTCTTTTTTTATGTTTTTTATATATTTTTTGGGACGTCAAGAATATGGTTGTTGATTTTGTCCAGTGATATTATTTATGACACACTTTTTTTGTATTTCTTTTCACACTCATATTTTTTAAGGATGTTGGAGCAAATGTCTCGTGCAGTTAGAGAAACCTTAATACACACAGTATTGCAATTTTATTGGAAGAAATAGAAACTAAGTGAACGTTCTCCTAAATCGATTCGCTGAAAGAACTGGCATAATGTCACTTAAAATGTTCAAGTTTTTTCTCTTCCAGGATCAACTCGATAACTTTTTAAAATTTTATTTACTATATATTAAAGTCAGTGTTGTATTTTGTCAGTTGATCCTTGAAAATAAAAATGTTTCAACTAAAACAAGCAATGAATAACACCACGTTAACGTCCCTATCGACACATGAATAACCGTCACGGACGTACACGTGTGCACCCGTACAGACGTGTAAAGCTGTGTTTGTTACACATATGTCATGGCTGCTTGGTTAGATGACAAGGTCAGCAATAAAATATCACTTACCTCGCGAACCAATTACCCGGTACCGACACTTTTGTACGCCATGTACTTGCAGTTATGTGTTTCTTTTAGTTGGCTGGGAAGGTAGAACACATGGATGTTGGTCTTCTTAAAGAAAACACCAATTACATACTATATAGCAATCGGAACGCGCAAAGTGGAATACCAGACTTTGTTTATAAGAAAAGCATCGTCTCATCAAAACTATGCGCTTTGTTTATGTCAATATATCGTTATTTTCGTAAATATGACATTAATTTATACAAATAATAAATAAAACGCCGTATAATCCGTTTATATACAAAGTATTTTTGGTAACAACTAGCCCCTACTTGTAACTATATCGACAGCAAAAGACGTCCTATAGCTTGTCACCAGAGATGGTTATTAACGGGAAAGATGTAGAACTAACGCCAATAATAAAACAATAAGTACAAAAGAACTGACGCCATGTATGTGATTAGAAATCAGCTGAGATTGATATCGAGGCGGAGGTGAGAATCATGTTCCTGTCAGCATCTACTTGGAAGTTTTCATTACCCGAAGTCGAGCACTCACGTGTAAACCGCGCTCTAACTCCTAACAAACACTACAATCATAGAACGCTCCGACACAATCACTTGAATTGATGTTGACGCCCTTTGCTTTGCAGCATATGAACGTATGGTGTAATCAATCAAGCACCGTTTAAAACATGGCCGTATGTTGGGATTGTGTAGGTCTCTGTTGGGAGGAGTTGTCGCGCTTAAGTGTTGAGCTTGTCAGATTTTACTGCAAAATAGGCAACTCGGACTATTTTCTTCAGATTGCATTTACAACTTGGATTTATAAGAGAAGCCAGTTTGAAGTTAATGTCGGATCCTTCGCACCTGATGTCGGACACTCGTACACCCGTTCAATACGTTCCGCGCTCCGTACATTTCTGCATGCTTTCAACTTGGAGCAGTGTTCATTGCAATGCCTGACGTTAAATTGTTTGTGTCTGTTTCAATCAGATTTAGAAGCCTGTGACTCGCTAAATACAGTGGGATATTTCTCGCTGGGGAATTTTATTACTGTGTGTTTCGTTTCGATATTTATAACAGAGTAAATTGCTCGCCTCTGCACATCGTCATATTACAAGGAGCACCATCTCCCAGCTTTTAAACGTAATGACAAGCTTTGTAATTGACACAACTCTCCGAATGTAGATTCCATGGCGGATTGGCAGGATAAGAACTATAAAAACATCATTTTCTGCTCCTTGAGAAAAAAAAAAGAAACACCATAATTTACTGTGACTTAATATCACTACAAACGGGTGTGAATCCACACAACCATAAAAACGCTGACAGCGCCAACATTAAAACTAAAACGGTTATCACCTATTCCCCAACATTTTACTCGTGCTCGTTGTGAGCTGAAGTAAGGCCATCGTTGGTAGAGCGGATCCTCGTTAACTCCTTTTTATCTGCCTTTCTTAGTAATCCCGCTCATCTTGACACCCATAAGTCACGTGAACAGGGCCCTATCCAGCTCCGTAAGACTCGGAACCGTGCAGCAGACAAACGCTAACATCTAGTACGATTTATCGGTCCTTCGAGCTTCCGCATCTTTTTAATACTTCAACACCTAGTGGCCTATTTCCCTCATTGATCAAAAGTATTCACCTATAATATTTCTAATCGTCAAAGTAATTGTTTGGATGACATTTTGTGAAACTATAACGCTAGGACCTCCGGGGGTCGGAATTATGATAAGCATTGACGA